ACCTACGTCAGTAAGTGCCTTACATGCGCCAAAGTAAAGGTGGAATACCAGAAACCTTCAGGATTGTTGCAGCAACCGGAAATTCCCGAGTGGAAATGGGAGGGGATTTCTATGGATTTCGTTACCAAGCTACCCAAGACGTCGGACGGACCGGATACCATATGGGTAATAATCGATCGACTAACGAAATCTGCCCATTTCTTGCCAATCAAGGAATCCTACAAGATGGAGAGACTGACGCGATTGTACCTACAAGAAATCGTGAGACTCCATGGAGTGACAAAATCTATTATCTCGGATAGGGACAGTAGGTTTACGTCCCGATTTTGGCAATCACTCCATAAGGCCATGGGAACAAACCTCGATATGAGCACCGCTTATCATCCACAAACGGATGGTCAAAGCGAGCGAACTATCCAAACGCTCGAAGATATGCTCCGTGCATGCGTGATAGACTTTGGAAAGTCTTGGGATACCCACCTACCCTTAATAGAGTTCTCATACAAAAATAGTTACCATTCGAGCATCAAGGTGGCTCCTTTCGAAGCACTTTACGGACGTAAATGTAGATCACCGTTATGTTGGGCTGAAGTAGGTGACACCCAGCTAGCAAAAATGCATGCGTCGGACAAAGCACTAACGGAACCGGAGATCATCCGTGAAACCACGGAAAAGATCGTTCAAATCAGAGCTCGATTGCAAGCATCGCGTGACCGAAAAAAGAGCTAAGCTGACAAACGACGAAAGCCCTTAGAATTTCAGGTCGGTGATCGAGTACTGTTAAAAGTCTCGCCCTGGAAAGGGGTTATACGTTTCGGAAAACGGGGAAAGCTGAACCCGCGATACATTGGACCTTTCGAAATCGTCGCTCGAATTGGTCCAGTAGCATACAGACTGCAACTACCCGCAGAGCTAAACGGTGTACACCCCGTGTTTCACGTATCTAATCTGAAGAAGTGTCTCTCAGATGAAACACTCGTCACTCCTCTTGATGAAATCGAAATCAATGAGAAACTCCTGTTCGTTGAAGAACCAATCAAAAATCATGGACAGGGAGGTGAAGCGTACTAAGCAGAGTCGCATCCCGATCGTGAAAGTACGGTGGAACGCAAAGCGTGGGCCAGAATTCACTTGGGAGCGCGAAGACCAAATGAAGCAAAAGTACCCTCACCTATTCTAGCTTTCTCAAATCTAGCTTTCAAACAGAATTTCGGGACGAAATTCCCTCTAACGGGGGGGATGATGTCACAACTAGAAATTCTATGTCTTGTAATCACTATACTCAATTAAATGTTGAAATCAAAAACTCAAAAACAAGTATGATGCTTACTCAATGGGAAACTAAACCCCCAATTCACTACATCAAACAATTGGAAAACCCTAAAAGTTCTTGTTAAGTACATTTTGGACTAGAACTTCCTTATTGGATCCAAATGGACCAATAAGCTTCCAATTGGACTATCATGGGCTTAGAACCCTAATTGGGCTCTAATTGGACCCACATCTATTTATTTCAACATTTTGAGCCATGTTGAACCTAGAATGAAATAAATTAATGACTATGAACCATAATTAACCTAATTTGACCCTAACAAGTCATAAAAATCACATTTAAATTTATTTGGACCAAAAATCACTCAACTTAACCATGAAAATTGGGCTTAAGTATTTAAGGCCCAAACACCCTCATTTCCTCCATTATTCTCGGCCCAAAAGCTCAAGCCCAAGAAGAGGGTTGACCTTAGTAGGCCACCTCCTTATTGTCTTGTGGATCTCCATGCAAATCCATTCCATGTATCCATGCACATCACTTCATGTCTATATCTCCCTCTCTCTCCTTGTTTCGGCCGAGAGCAACACCCACACACACACAAAACACTCACAAACTCTCTCTAAATCACTCAAGGCTACTCTCTTCTTCCCCATCCAAAATCTCGAAATTTTGGAAGCATTCAAGGAAGTTCTTCCACAAAATCATCATCTAAGGTAAGGTTTTGCTTGGATCTATGACTTGTATTCCTTGTTTATCAAAAATCTCTTCCTAATCCATGCAAAAATCGTGATCTTGCACTCTAGAAACCCCATAAACTCGAAAACTTCATCAAGGAGTGCAAAGGCCAAAAATCACTTCATTTCTTCCATTCTTTCTTCAAAAACCGAATCAACATCCAAAGTGAGTTTCATATCCCCTTATTTTCGGTTTTTATGAGTTTTTGTGGGGGAGAATACAAGCAAAAGTGTAGATCCATCATTATGTGTATGTTGTGGTTGATTTCTATGCTTATATGTATGTTTTGTATGATTTTGATGATAGATCTAGTATGAAATGCTAAAAAAAACCGAGACATATATTTTATTATAGCATAAAATATACTATTACATGCAAAGTATACTAAGAAAATGGCCAAATGGCTTGACAACACTTAATTTGGGCTAAAAACTCATTTTTTTGACATAAAATGTTGAAAATACAAAGTTAAAGGGCCTAAAGTGAAATATTTCGAAATCTGATGGGTGAGATGAGTCAAAACAGTTTACACAATGTATTTTCTGAAAATATACTATTTAGAGGGTTAAAAACATAAATTCCAAGCTTATTGGGCTAAATATGACATTTTCGGCCCAATGAGGCCCAATATGCGAAATTTTCTAATTTGGAGGACCAAAACTGCATTTTTCTGTAAAACAGTGGACTATAAGTGTTCCATGTACTTTTCAAAGGTTTAAAATGCTTTTCAAATTTAAAAAGGACCAAAGTTGTAAAAATTTTCCAAATTGGGTCAAAAATGTAAAAGTTGCGAAAAAGAGGGGCTATAACCGAGAAAACTGAAATTTCAAGGACTTAAACTGTTTTCTATGATAAATATGCTGGAAATACTTATTTCAATAATTTTTGGTATAAAAATGTCAAGAAAATTAATTTAAGGACCAAACCGGAAAGTTTTTAAATAAAGGGGTGAAAAGGGTAAATTCTACAATTAAGGAGGGGCTGAAAATAGAAAATCTTCAAGGCTAGTCAATACATGCAATTTGATCAATTGACGGTACCACGCTTGTCGACAAAATACAATACACTACAATACCAAAAGTCGTTGTTAAACGAATTGGTTCGGTCTCGAACCAATAAAAATCCAAAACCACTAACACGACGACGTTACGACATTACGATTCATAACTAATAACGATGGAGAATTCACTATACATACGAGTGTGCGCAGACGTCTATGCACCATCTTTGGGCCCCAAAAGTGTAAAATCTTGTTCGTTGAGCCTAGCTAGCCCAATGACCTGATCTTAAGGCCCGAAGATCTCTCTCTCTTACAGAGTGTTGGGTTTTATCGATCCGACATAACGTAACAGGACTTTCAATGGCAAACGTGCTGCTGGTCCCCAAGGGTCCTTCAGTGCTGCTAGTAAAGTCGGTAACTCACGATTGCGGGTTGGGCTTCGGGCCCTTCGCAATTGCATTTGTCTTGAACGACGCGGGGAAATACCGAGGGTTTCGCACCTTCTCTCCTTCCCTCCGGTCGTGGGACTACACAAGTCCGGGAGGATCGAGTTGTGTGAAGAATTACGAGTGGTGCCTAAGGGATCGCTTGTAAGGTTGTCGATTAGACGTTTTCGTTAACATACGTCACAACACTTCACCACCCATTGTATTCTCAATGCCTCCGGAACTCAACGATTCCCTCTAACGAAACGAAACAACGGTATACAAACTAAGTAATACAAAGTGATAGGAAAACGTCGGGTTTTCCTAGGGTTTTCAACAATTACAAATTACCGGTTGAATTTTCACAACTCTTACGCCTACATCTATAGAATTCAAACATGCATACTCATGGATCAACACATATTTTTACACTATTCTATTTTTAGAAAATATCGGATTTTCTGATGGGTTTCAAACATTACATTGGATTTCAAACACTACTTATGAACTCACCAACATTTCGTATGTTGACGTTTTTCAAAATACTTGTATTCTCAGGTAACAGATAAGGTGACGGATGATTTATACTCTATGATGTTTGTTGTGGTTTAAGTGATGTTGAATAGTTATTTTGAGAATGTAACGTTTGAACAATGTAACGAATGTAAACACTATCGGTTGTATTATTCCAAATGTTGGTGATGTTTTATGTTATGTTTCATGTATATGCATTGTGATGGTATTCAATGAGTCACAATAGCCCTCGGACGTTTCCGCCGTCTGGTTCGGGGGTGTGACATCAAGTCTGAAGCGGATTCTCACAATCCCCTGAATCGGATTGAAGAGAACAAAAACGATAATTCTTGATATCACATCCTTTCTCCATCTTTTTCAAAATGTACCTTTCTGGAATTTCTTTAACACCACATCTTATCGTTATTGTAAAAGCATGTCTGCATAAAACACCCATATGCTTGAAATGTTCACAATTGCAATTTATTTCATTCTCTTCAGCTTTTATTTCAACTTGATACAAAAAAATAATAAACAAAAAATGAAACAAAATTACACATTTAAATTCATATATGAACAATCATATATAACTATTCATTATGAATATTACATTATAATCATATATAATAATTCATATTCATATATGAATAATAATAAATAAATATTCATATATGAATAATCACATTGTAAATATTCATATAAGATATGAATTTAAATTCATATATGAACATGTTCTAATTTTAAAATGATCAGAATATATATATATATATATATATATATATATATATATATATATATATATATATATATATATATATATATATATATATATATATACACACACATTGCATTATTCATAAAAAAACTATTAAATTACCTTGTATTTATTTTTAAATTCACTTTTACTATTGTTGTGTTGCATAATGTAAACTTCCCATCCATCTTCAATATCAACATATGAGTATGTACATTAAAAAACTTGCTTTATATATATTTCCTTTTGCACCTCAAAAAATAATGTACTTGTATAAACTTTTGATGCTTGCAGTTCTATTTATTGAGGTGGTTGCATTTTATATGATGCTTTTTTGGATGCCTTATCAAGCTCTCGTTGAGTATTCTTTTGCTTTTGAATGGCAGTTTCGTAATTCATCATGAGATTCAAAAGTAAATTACCACTTTCTGAGTAGGTATTAAAAAATGAATTCATACTCTCTGACTTCGACGTAGTCTTTATCAACCTACACATTGGAATATCGTTAAAATATCTAGGTATCCATGAACCAAGTTTTGTAAACTTGTCTTTAAACCATCTTGTCTCTTCAAGATTGAATTCCTTTATAAGCAAACCCCACTTCACCTCAATGACATCAGGTTTCATATTAATGTCCCAAACAAGCTTTGAAAATCTTTTTCTAAAGTTTGTGTTCGTAAATAAATCATCTGATATCTGTATTAAAACAAAAATAAAATAAAATTCTATATTTATTCATAAATGAGCGAATATTAATAACTAAAATAATATTAATTATTCATAAATGAATATACTAATATTTCAAGAAAATTACTATATACATCTTAAAATAACTTAATACTATGTAACATATTTGAAATATATTAAAATAATACCTTTTTTTCAACTTCTTCATTATATGCCACATACATAATCGGTGCTTTGAATTAGGAAACACATTCTCAATAACTTCTTTTATTGCAACATGTTAATCGGTTAAAACAAATGTTGGTTCTTTTACATGAGTTTTAAGAAACGCTTTAAGCAACCAAGAGTATGATTCAATGCTTTCATTGCTTAGCAACCCCGATCCAACATTAACTGATTTTTTATGATGGTCAATAGCAGTAAATGGAACAAAAATCATTCGATACCTATAACACAAAAAAGTGATCATTAAAGTTAAATTTTGAAGTATTCATAAGTGAATATAAAAATATTCATGTATAAATAAAGTTACAGTATATTATTAAAATATTTTCAATATTAAAAACTGAACATTAAACATAAAGTTACAATATTCATATATGAATAAGCTATAAAAAAAATAGATAAAATAAGTTACTTGTTTGTTAGGAAACTCGCATCAAACGAGATAACATCACCAAATTCAGCCTAATATGCATTCTCCATTTCAGTAGCCCATAACATAGAGTCAAAAACATCATCTTGGCAATTAAACTCAAAAGAGTAATTTTGATAGTGAGCTCGGCGATCATTCATTTTGTTTACTATCATTTGAGCATCTTTATAACGTATAAGCTTGTTAATATCTCTCCTTAAATTTTTATAGTCAACTACTATGGGCTTTACAAACTCATACCCGCCTCTCAGACTTGCCCTCAACTTACGAGCCATAGTTAGACCTATTTTTGATGTCGAAGCACGCACTATAAACTCTTTTTCTGAATACTAACATTTGCCTCACTTTTTTTAAATCAGTTCACTTCTCAAGTGGATGGTTGTGAAGTTCATCAAACTGAAAAACTTTATAATCTGAAGTTTCATACACAGATTCAAATATAATCTTTGCATGACAACCAATAACTCTTGAATTTGAATTTCGATTCCTCCTAACACCAAATGTACCCAATGTTCACAAGAATTCTTTTTTTGTTTGCCACCACGAATACATATAACATGTTTCTTCTTTATAATCTTGTTATCAAACCTTGAGTGTGTGCTTAGTCTCACATCAAACTTACCAATTTCAAGATACTCAGAATCTTTTGATGGCAAACTCTAATGATTTGAAGTTTAAACCTTTTAGATGGAATAAATTGAACAGGTACATCTGGCTTATAGAAATGTTCTCCAATTACATTACCACAATATTGCGCATAATCTACTAAACTCGAAGATTCACCTAATAAAAAATTATAAATCTAAATGAATCTACTAATGCATGAATAAAACAGTCATATATGCATACATGAAATTCATATGAACAAAACAAAAAACAATGCTTATATGAATACATGAAATTCATGAATGACTAAAACGATTCATATATGAATAAAACAATTCATATTTGAATAAAACAAAAAATCCATGTTTATATAAATACATAACATTCATATGAATAAAATATTCATATATAAATACATAAAATTAATGAGAATTCAAAATATATAAAATAAATAGCTTATTTATATATGAATAAAACGAAAATAATAATAAATTTGAAATAACAGTTATCACACGTTAATTCATATATGAATAAGACAACAATTTATTTAGATTAACACATTCATATGTGAATACATGATAATCAACAAAATTAAAAATAAAAATAATTCAATAACAGATACCTTCAAAAAATGAGTTCTCAACATCTTCTACTTCACTCTCACGCATCGAAGAATACAAATCACCATGAATAACACTAGAATTTCAAATAATAAACCAAATGATATGTAGAAAACAACAACAACAATCTTAATATCGATTAAAATGATGATAAAATAAAATAGAAACTGAACGATAATAAAACTAAAACACAAAACACAAAAATAGTCCTAATTACAAAAACCTGATGAATTTCGAATATATCTCACATCGGCATACAAAAGATATGAAAGAAACTTATAATAAAATTGCAAGAAAGATCATATGAAAAACTGATCAATTAATCAATCTCTCTCACTTCAGAACATAAAATTTACAACGATATATCCGATTGAAAATTAAATCAGGTACAATCAGATCCTAAAATTGAAATAGAGATCTCAAACTACAGAACAAAAATTCAATCAAACAATTGCATTATATATCCGAAACTTCACGATTAAAGGAAATAATACGAATAATTCCTAACGAATTATATAAATCAATAATCTTGATAATGAACAAAAATCTGATTCAAACGATATACATATCTGATCAAAACTGAAGCTGAATACGAAAAAGAAAACTGAAATACAGATACGAAACATTACGATTAATGGAAAGAATACGTATAATTGCTAACGAGTTATATAAAGAAAATAATATTGATAATGAATTCCTCCATATATGTGCTTTAGCGACTTGTATATTTGCAGATCGACAAGTAAAATCAAAGATGTTTTTTTTTTACTATTTTTCATAAAATAATTATGGAATTGGGTTATATTTGTAATTTTCTCATGAAAAAATGACATAAAGATTTTTTAAGTTTTACTTGTCAGATAAATGATTGGTTGAAAATGCTTTTCCATTTTCAACATTTTTATTTTATCGATTGAATATATATATATATATATGGGAAAAGTAAATATGTGGCTGTCATGTATGTAATGTTAGGTATATAACCATCAAAATCGACTTTATTTTGATTAAAGAACACATTTTTCTTTAATTTTTAGCTTCCTATTGCCTTTAAACTTATATTATATTTTATTTCGTGATTTATCTTCAATATATATCTATTTCAAATGTGTTTTTTATTAGACCTTTAATAGGTTTCATAACTTCCTTCAATACCTATCTTATTTATACTTGTATGGGTTTTTTTCATGATGTCTTATGGAAAGCGGTTTATTAATTTTTTTAATGAATAATTTCAATCTTTCAAAACGTATTTTCTATATTAAATTTCAATTAGAAGACCTACAAATAGTTGGTAAAATATTTTTATATATGGTTTGTGGTGCTCTTATATATGGTTTGTGGTGCAAAATCAAACTTATGAAATTCCATAAAAATATGTACAAAGCTTAACATAAGTTCTAATAGAGGATACAAGAAAGATGGTAGAGAGATTCGATGGCATTTTGTTAAAAATATATAGTTTTTTGATGGTTTTATACCTAACATTAAATACATGAAAGCTACATATTCCCTAAACCTTATATATATATATATATATATATATATATATATATATATATATATATATATATATATATAGGTTCAGGTTCATTTGAGACCATTCTAATTTTGTAAGACCGTGAGACCAAATCTAAAAATAATTTTATAATGCAAAATAAATGAAAAAATCCAAAAATTCTTTTTTTAAATATTATTTTCGGAACTTGAATTAACTAAAAAAAATTAAAAAAATAAAAAAAATTTAAAAAAAAATCTCGTTTTTTTTTTTGAAAAATACGTGAAATATTCTAAATAGAATATTACACTAACATATTCTAAAAAATAATTTTAAAATGCAAAATAAATGGAAAAAACTAAAAATTCTTTTTTTAAATATTATTTCGGAACTTGAATTAACTAAAAAAAATTCCTATTTTTTTTTTTAAAATACGTGAAATATTCTAAATAGAATATTACACTGTACATATTCTAAAAATAATTTTAAAATGCAAAATAAATGGAAAAATAAAAAAAAAATTTAAATATTATTTTCGGAACTTGAATTAACTAAAAAAAATTTTAAAAAAATTAAAAAATGCGTCTCACGGTCTTATAAAATTATGCCGTCTCACATGAACCTAACCCTATATATATATATATATATATATATATATATATATATATATATATATATATATATATATATATATATATATAAACAATAAAATAATAGTCGCGAAACAGAATCTATTTTGGTCATATCTATTTGTTAGTCAACATAAATACAAGACTAAACTGCACAAATGGTCCCTGTGGTTAGCTCAAAATTACCACTTTGGTCCAAAAATGTTTGGACTAGCACCACAGGTCCAAACTTTTTATTTTGTTGCGAGTTTGGTCCAATTTGCTTTAATTTTTTTTCAGATGACGATTTTGCCCCTATTTTTTTAATTTTCAGTTTTTTATTATTTTTATTAATTTCTTTATTAATTTTTTTATATGACAACAACTAATAAAAAAATATTCAGTGTTTAACCCCCACCCCCATTCACTCACTCACTCACTCTCTCTCTCTCTATCTCTCTTTCTCTCTCTCTCTCTCTACATTACATATGAAGAACACTGAAACTCTAAACCTGCACATCACCGAACCTCCGACTCCGACAAGGGCTGAACCGTCGCCGGACCTTCCTCTTCTCACCGGAACGCGACCTGAACCACCAAAACCACCCGGAAACTGCTACCACAACCATTGTTCTCTCTCCACTTCGTCTCTCTTTCTCTCCACCGTCTCTCTCCTTCTCCGGCATTGCGTACTTGACGTTAAAACATCTCTTTCTGATTTTTTTGGATTTTTGTTGTGAAAATACTTATCACCGATCTTGTTTGAAGATCTTTTCATCGTAGATCTGGAATACCGACGATCTGCAACATGACCATCTTCTTCTGAGCTCCAACTCCCCACCATCTTCGGAGACGAACGGATCTGATTCGAAGACGATGGTGCTGTCAAGAACGACGGAAGGGGAGAGAAAGAGAAGGGGGACATTCGTCTTCTCTGTTGCCCAGATCTGTAAATAGAACCATCACCACCATCCATTTAGGACTTTTTGACGATAGATTTGAAACCCTCGCTCTTTCCGACGAGCATTTTGACTGTTCTGACGGTTGTATAGAGAAGGTGATCGAAGCACAAAAAAAAAAAAAAGAGAAAGAGGGTGGCACCGGGAGTGGTGATTGTGGCGATGATTTCTATCAGGTGGTGGCAGTTTATGGTGGGTGGCGTTTTTTTGTTTCCGGCAGGTGGTGATGTTTTCCGTCTGATGGAGATGGTTTCCGGCGACATAGTGGAGTGAGAGAGATAGGTAGTATGTATGTTAAAGAGATAGTGGGTGGGTGTAGTACTATGGGTGAGTTTTTTTTTCTTAGATTTTTTTTAATTTGAAATTTAGAAAAATAAATAAGAAAATGGAAAAAGAAATTAATAAAAATAATAAAAACCTGAAAAATAAAAAAATAGGGGCAAAACTGTCATTTGAAAAAAGTTTAAAGCAAATTGGACCAAACTCACAACAAAATGAAAAGTTTGGACCTGTGGTGCTAGTCCAAACCTTTTTGGACTAAAGTGGCAATTTTAAGCTTAGCACAGGGACCATTTGTACAGTTTAGTCTAAATACAACGTTGTCCGCTTACTTTTATATATTTTGCTTGTCTGTTAGTGTGTATATTATATATATATATTATATATATATATATATATATATATATATATATATATATATATATATATATATATATATATATATATATATATATATATATATATATATATAATAAAATAATAGTTGCGAAACAGAATCTATTTTGGTCATATCTATTTGTTAGTCAACATAAATACAACGTTGTCCGCTTACTTTTATATATTTTGCTTGTCTGTTAGTCGGACAAAATAAATAGGAAATATGATTAAAACATTTTAGAAGTCTTTCAGGGGAAATGTTCAAGATTTTGGATGACTATCAGCTGAAGGTATTATGTAGTATTTTCATGCCAAATATAACACTTAGCATGTAAATAACGTAAAAAATTATATGTTTTACGAACTTAGACTTCGTGTAAATTATTATATACTTATCCGAGAAATTTACGACAATAGTCCCTATCACGTTACTCATAAGCTAAACTTTGGTCCAACGTTTTAAAAAAAGGGAACTGATTTGTACACAACACTTTTTCTCCGCACACAACAATTTGTGCTTTAAAGTATTGTATTGTACAACTCTATAATGCATAAATTGTTGTGTACGGCAAAAAATTGTTGTGTACGAATCACTTCCCTTTAAAAAATGGATAATATCATAAAAAACCTTATGTTTGGCAGAAAATGTCGGTTTTACCCTTCGGCACATTTTTGGTTCATTTATACCGCAAAGTTGTCATTTTTTTGTCGGTTTTGCCCTTGTTACCTGCAATAGCAGGTTTCCAGGTTATTATGAATTATTTTTTGCGAAAAAACCCTTAAGTTTACAAATATTTTGCAAAAAAACCCTTAAGATTATAAACATATAAAATATAAATATATATTCAAAGTTTTATAAAACTAAATAGTTTTCTACTGAAACATATTTTTAGCTTTATGTATGGTAAATTTTATATTTGTTTGATATAAAGTTTTTATATTTAAATTTTAAAAAAGTTACATAGTTTTATCAAAATTTAAATATTTATTAATTAATACTTAAACTTTTCAAAGTAATATTAAAAAACGTCTGTTGGCTAATAATAATATGACATTAGTGACATTCAATTAATATTTTTTAAAAGAAAAATAAAAATATTTTATATGTTTAAAAGGTTTGAATTTCAGAAATAATAAACTACCATAGTTCAAATTTAGGTCCATTTTTGCCTTGAACTTGCATTTATTGTGCCGTTTTTGTCAAGTAGCCGGTTTCCCTCTAATCAACCGGTTACCCACTTGCTTAGGTGGAAGATACTTGGCATTTATCATTTAATAACTCTTTCATAGACATCCTCGTGTGCAATTGATCCCTTCAACCCCCACAGGCCACAATTAGTGACAGACTACAATGGAAAAATGACAACTTCGTCTTCAAGATCAAGCTTTAATGGTGGTACAAGAATGAGGAACAAGAAGGTAATAAGATGCGACTGCGGTGATGTTTGTGGTGTATCAGTCTCACGAACACCTGATAATCCAGGACGAAAATTTTGGGGCTGCCCTAATTATCAGGTAAAAACCTATTTATTTTTGTACTAATTTCTCCCTAAAATTTTAGGGCTGCCCTAACTTCCCAAAGAGGAACGTATGTTATAGAACCCTATTTTTTTTTTTTTTTTGGTAGGTGGAAGGAGGCAACTGTGGTTTTTTCAAATGGGCGGATGAAGAACTAGGTTAAAATATGGAGATGTGTCATACAGAGGAGATCAAGCCATTGTTAGAAGTGATCATAGGGCTGTTAGTGGTTATATCGCTGATGCTAGGAATAGTAGTTATTAAGATGTAGTTTTGTTGGTTTTCCTGTATTAGTAATATATTAAGGATAATCAAGAATTGTTACATCTTTGTAATGTTTTTTTTTTTTGGACGGCTGAATGTTACATGTTTGTAATGTATTAAGGGTATTAATGGTAATGTTATTAATGGTAGTTAATTGCTATCTCATGTATGTGTTGCATGAATGGAAATACAATGAAAGTACATTGCATAAAAGGAATTGTACTAAAATACCCTTGGTTACATTCACAATGAAAGTAAACTTTGCATGAATGGAATTGCACTAATGTATTAAGGGTATTAATGGTAATGTTATTAATGGTAGTTAATTGCTATCTTACTTTGCATATGGTTGAATGTTGCACTAATGGTATTAATGGAATTGCATGAAAGGTATTAATGTAATTGCATGAATGGAATTGCACTAACTTGCATACGGTTGAATGTTGCATATTTGTAATGTATTAAGGGTATGAGTGGAATTGCATGAATGGTATTAATGGAATTGCACTAACTTGCATACAGTTGAATGTTGCATGTTTGTAATGTATTAAGGGTATTAATGGTAATGTTATTAATGGTAGTTAATTGCTATCTCATGTATATGTTGCATGAATGGAAGTATAATGAAAGTACATTGCATAAAAGGAATTGTACTAAAATACCCTTGGTTACATTCACAATGAAAGTAAACTTTGCATGAGTGGAATTGCAATAACTTGCATAAAAGGAATTGCACTAATGAAAGTACATTGCTAATGCTTAACATGTACTAGAAAATAAAATAAAAACATCATGGTTACCATAATAGGGGGCATCGATTATAAACCTTAATATAAAGCATCCATTACATAAGTTTTACTATCATGTAGCAGCCATCCATTTTGTATACCAAAACATGTACCCAAAAGCCTAAACAATATCCAAAAAAAGGCAAGCAATAATGTAACACTAAACAAATGGATGTATGCTACAAGTAGTGGGTGTATATCAAAAAATAACCAAAAAGGGCTACCTATACAATTGCCCAATGATACCATCCCCACTTTTGCCCCCATATACCTAGGTAACTACTCCAAATCTACTGGATAGCTAGATGTGGAACCCCTTCCATCTTTGTCAAAACAAGGTTTCTTCAGCTTTTGCAGGATGATCCTTTCTGAGGGCTTTCTTGTCCTTCTAGGTGGTACATGACCTTCATCATCAGCATCATTTCCCTCCATATCTGCTGCATCATCCTCACCAGCACCAGCACCATTACCCTCACCAGCACCAGCACCATCACCATCAACCTCACCATCACCCTCACCTGCTACTTCATCAGCATCATCACCATCACCATGACCCTTATTTCCCTCCACACCATCATTTATAAGACCATCATCTTCATTTCCTTCCATCACACCATCAACATATGGAATATCCTCAACTTCATTCACATCCTGTTAATAAAAATTTGAAGAATACTTATTAATAAAAGATATAAACATGTTTGATACTAATGTTAGCAATTATAAAATGATGGAGTCAAACTAACCATCTCAACTGCTGGCATATCATCCAATTCAACTTTAACCCCTCTCAAGCTCTCTATTTCAGCCATGCTATATCCTGCCCCAAGTAGGTCTGCTACACTTTCTAGATCTAGCATCACCATCTCTGGGAGAACATCACTTGCATTTCCTTCAGTGAATTCAGGTTCAGGATTACCCTCATTCTCATACTGGCTTTTTTCATCTGTACCTTTAAGAATAGCATCCATTGCATCTTCAACCTCATCAAGTTGTTTTGTTAGGTCAGGTTCAACTTCCTCAACACCTTTGTCATCATTAGCATGAAGAATACTTTGAATAATAGCATCCATTGCATCTTGGAATCCATCACTTTTCTGATAATTATCCTTTGGTTGGCTAAGAGAAGCTTCAAAAGTGCACATCATATCAACCAGACTGTCATCATCAATATCTTCATTGTCAAACAAATCTTTCACTTGTTCCTCACATCCCCTACCTTCAACATGACCATCTAAACCATCATTTTTGCTTTTAACAGATTTAGAACCTGATGCTTGATTTGGGTCAGAATGGACCTTTTCCTTGGCCTTCCTTTCTTCTTTGGTGGCATAGGAACTGCTTCCTGCCTCTCCTTCCTAGGCCTTCCTTTCTTCTTTGGTGGCATAAGGACAGGTTCCTGCCTCTCAGACCTATCACATGATGCTTTTATTGGGTTCATCTTGTTCCTTCCTTGGCCTTCCTTTCTTCTTTGGTGGCATAGGGATAGGTTCCCTGGTTGCATTCTTGCATCCCTTCTGGTTATGGTCATACTCAAAGCACTTACCACACCTTATAGTTCTTGGGGTGTGTACTCTTCCATCATTTTCACTTACATGTCTCCTTCTATTAACCTTTGGCCTACCAGGTATTCTCCTTGACACTGGTGGCAAGGGCTTTATGTATTCAGTTTGAGGCCATAGATTTGAACCATTCACTGGACTAATGTTAGCAGAGTAACACTTAAGGAATTGTTCCTTGGAAAACATGTCATCAATATACTCATCAGGTGTTTGATGGATGTAGTTGATGGTTGCAATTGCATGAACACATGGGATCCCAGCCAGATCCCATAACCTGCAGGTACAATGCCTTCCATCTAAATCCACCATGTAGCTATCACATCCTCTCCTTGCTTCAAACACATGTTGTTGACTATGAATTATTAACCAAAACCTACATCCAAAAGTTACATGTTCAAGTGTTACCTAATGAAATTAAAACAAAAGTTACATGTTAAAGTGTTACCTCATGTTCTTCCCAAAAAGCTTCATCTTCTTTAACACTGCTGGACATATACGGGTATTCCATCTAGTGCTTTCCTCAATCATGTGAGCAAACCTATCCATGATGTATATCCTTATTTCTTCAAGCATTGTGATCAATGGTTTTTTCCTAGCATCCACAATGATGGAATTGAAGCACTCTGATATACCATTCTCCACTGCCTCACATGCATACCTTGTACTCATGTAAGCTCTACACCATGTTTGGTGGCATAGGAACTGCTTCCTGCCTCTCCTTCCTAGGCCTTCCTTTCTTCTTTGGTGGCATAGGGACAGGTTCCTGCCTCTCAGACCTATCACATGATGCTTGATTGGGTTCATCTTGTTCCTTCCTTGGCCTTCCTTTCTTCTTTGGTGGCATAGGGATAGGTTCCCTGGTTGCATGCTTGCATCCCTTCTGGTTATGGCCATACTCAAAGCACTTACCACACCTTATAGTTCTTGGGGTGTGTACTCTTCCATCATTTTCACTTACATGTCTCCTTCTATTGACCTTTGGGCTACCAGGTATTCTCCTTGACACTGGTGGAAAGGGCTTTATGTATTCAGTTTGAGGCCATAGATTTGAACCATTCACTGGACTAATGTTAGCAGAGTAACACTTAAGGAATTGTTCCTTGGAAAACATTTCATCAATATACTCATTAGGTGTTTGATGGATGTAGTTGATGGTTGTAATTGCATGAACACATGGGATCCCAGCCAGATCCCATAACCTGCAGGTACAATGCCTTCCATCTAAATCCACCATGTAGCTATCACATCCTCTCCTTGCTTCAAACACATGTTGTTGACTATGAATTATTAACCAAAACCTACATCCAAAAGTTACATGTTCAAGTGTTACCTAATGAAATTAAAACAAAAGTTACATGTTAAAGTGTTACCTCATGTTCTTCCCAAAAAGCTTCATCTTCTTTAACACTGCTGGACATATACGAGTATTCAATCTAGTGCTTTCCTCAATCATGTGAGCAAACCTATCCATGATGTATATCCTTATTTCTTCAAGCATTGTGATCAATGGTTTTTTCCTAGCATCCACAATAATGGAGTTGAAGCACTCTGATATACCATTCTCCACTGCCTCACATGCATACCCTGTACTCATGTAAGCTCTACACCATGTTTCGGGTTCTTTAGACATCAGATGCTCATATGCACCAGTATTGAGCTTTTTAATTTTGTCCATATGTCTCTTGAAATCACCTTCCACACAGCTCATAGCTGCAGCCCAAAACGGCTTCTTGAACTCCAACCCAGTGTAAGCTTTTCTAAATTTTGCATATATGTGTCGGACACATTGCCTGTGCTCCACATGTGGCAATACATCTTTAACAGATTGCGACAAACCCTATACAAAAACCAGCATACATGTAAGTATTTATAAGTAATTTGAAAAAGTATTAATATGTTATAAAGAAACTTACTTTATGTTGATCTAATATAACTATCAACCCCCTTCCATCAATAAGGTCTAGATCACCACTGAGTAGCTCAAGGAACCAAGTCCAGTTGGACTTATTTTCCACATCAACAACAGCCCAAGCAATTGGATAAACCTGGTTGTTGGCATCTCTACCAATGGTTGTTAGCAGTTCACCCTTCACCTGCCCCTTTAGAAAGCACCCATCTAGCCCAATTACTCTCCTACATCCTCTTTTCCAGCTAACACTTAGTGCTTTGAAACAAATGTAAAACCTGTGAAAATAATTCTTTCCATCTGGATTGGTTGTTACACCAACTTGACATGTGGACCCCGGGTTTGACCTTAACAATTCATGGGCATAATCCCATATCCTTGCATAATGCTCAATGAGTTTACCTTCTATTAAATTTTTGGCCCATTTCCTTGCCCTTCTAACTTGTCCTATAGATACCACACACCTATACCTTTGTCTGATGTCGTCAATCATTTCCTGAAGTTTCATCTTTGGCTTATTTGCAATTTCAGTCACATAATGTCTTCCAATCCATTCAGGGGACACAATGGATCCAAACTTAAACTGCCTAGAACATTTATGGTCACCATTCATAGCTTTGATCTGAAAAGATCTTTCTTTGTACATCCATGCAGCATAAATTCTGAAAGGGTATTTATTCTCTTCCTTCCTATTTCCACATCTAGCTACAATTCTTTTACTATCACATTTTTCATAGTATATTCTATAGCCATGTGAGACTGCATAATTGGTGACACAAAACTTCAGTTGGGCAGGGGATTCAAAGATGTCACCAAGCTTTGGTACCATCTTGTCCCACTTGATGGTTGGGTCATGAATTCTATAGTTGTTTTTCAATACCTCCTGTTCATCTTCATCACTCTGCCAATCAGTAGCATGGTATACTTGTGCTCTGATTTCATCTGCCATACTAGAATTTCGTAGGTTTTCATCACTTAATAGAACATTTAGGAAGATATCCTTACATTTATCAAGTGAGGACAATTCTTCCTCTGGTTCGTGGTCCATGTAAATGCCGTGGAGTTCAAAATCCATTTCAGTCAAGCCAGCAAATGGCTCATGTATGCCAGCAAAGGGGTCAGCGTACCCTTCGTCTGATGAAGCCATTACACCCTCCTGCATCAACACACTAACTTTAGGAACACATTTCAACAAATGTTGAATGTAAATGTAATTTCAGTCAACCTGTAAAAACCTTACCTTTCGAAGAAATGTTGAAGAACACTTTTAACCTAATCGTCTCCAAGAAAACCCTTTTTTTCTCTGTGTATAGAGTCGATGAAATGGGATAAGGTGAAGAGTGATCGGGTTATAGAGGGAGATGAGATGCGACGGTTTAACAACGTATCTAACAGAATTGGAGATTTTTACAAACGACGTTAATTAGCCTTCCACCTAAGCAAGTGGGTAACCGGTTGATTAGAGGGAAACCGACTACTTGGCAAAAATAGCACAATAAATGCAAGTTCAAGGCAAAAATGGACTTAAATTTGAACTTTGGGCAAATCCGTCAATTTTGTGCAAAATTAAGGGTTTTTGTGACATTAGCCCTACAATATATAGATAGTCAATATGTTAAGCATTAAACTAAGTGTCCACTATGGGGATATAATTCAAGATTCTATCATCGTATTCATTATTCATTAATCATTAAAAACCTACCCAGGTTGTAAGCATAGATTGGCTGCTTCTAAATTATGGACTTCTTCTAAATTATCCGTATTAAACTATTAATCGTTGATTTGAATTGCAATTTTCAATATATCTTCTCTATTCTATGTTTATGTTTCAAATTTCATCCTCTTTTTTTCAAAATTTCAATTTCTATCAAGTTCAATTATCGTACTAACTTCATTTATCAAAAAATAAATTTCAAATGTGTAACAAATTTTACCACTAAAAAAGTGTCGTCAATACGCTTAAATGAGAACAATATTAAATATTATTAGTAATAGTTTTATGTTAATCTTTTTACTTAATATACAAAAAAATTATAAATTCTAAAAGCAAACACGTTAACATTGAAAATTGTCAACATTAACCTTTATTAAAAATTGTCAATATTAACCCTTATTAGCCAGTTATTAACCGGCTATTTCTTAAAGTTTTTTTTATGTATTTCTTTTATTTTAGTTATTTGCCTATATAAATAACTTTTACAAGAAAATATTTACATATTTACATTTACATACATTCACAAACCTAAATAAATCAATTACTATACACACACACACACATATATATATATATATATATATATATATATATATATATATATATATATATATATAATATTATATATATATATATATATATATATATATATATATATATATTATATATATTATAGAGTTCCGTTGAGATTTAAAAATAAAATAGGGATCTTGAGATTCAACGTCGACCATATATTTCACATCTGCCGATCTAACCCTCCAACATACTGGCGTGACAAATCTTTTATAATTATAGATATTAATATAGCATCACAGTTCCTTTCTCCGTCATCATCATTCCCTTGACTATTGGCAAATCTAGGATCAAA